TTCATAATCTCAGTGTAATTGTATTTTTGCTAACAAAACATATTGCCAAACTAAAAACTAATAAGACTTCAGCAATAAGTCTGCTAGAATGAAGTTTTTTCTACAAAGACAAATTAAGTCTTTATAGAAAAAAAAGTGAAAATTAAGAAGAAGTTGCCAAATTAAAAGTCAAAGATAATTATGGTAGTATTAGTGAAGCAAAAATCCTTTAATTTTCTTCTCTTTGCTTGCCATAGAACATATTGAGCTCTTTAAAATTCATGCAATGAAACAGAATTTTATGCCTATTTTCATGTGTCTCTGTAATATTCAGGGCTGTAGTTTCAGGCTTATAAAATAGAAGCAGCATGGTCTTTAAAAGGCAGATGATCACGAACAAATCTTACGTGGTACTAACAATAAGAGCATTTAGAGAATACTGACAAAAATGCATTAAAAATAATGGAAAACAGAATGCATTGCAATCTTCTCTGCGTTAATGCAGATGTACATTAAATTGCAATATGGATTGCCAGAATAAATTAATTACATGATAAACACGGATAACAAATCATCTGTTTGTCAGCAGAGGTAGAAAATGGTGACATATTTTTCATATGGTTTATTGGCAGCTCTATTCAGCTGAAAATATTTGGGGTAGATGGACATAAATAAATATCACTTAGTGTTCCTAAATATGTACATTTATAATACCAGAGTTCTGGGCAGCCATACATAGTATTTTTGGAGAAACAGTAATCAAAGAAACCTGGAAGAGTGAGAGAACTGATGCTTCAGACTAGGTTTTTTTCACATACTAGGTGTGTGACTTTACACAAACCACTTTGCTTCTCTGAGCCTCCATTTTTATATCAGAGGACTGCAGTGATAAATTTTGCAATTTTATATTATACTTAGATTGATAGACATCAGCTAAAATACTGGATTCTGAGTATGCAGAATTACTAATAGTGATCATTCATCCATACACTGAACCATTTATCCTTAAACTTAACACAATTGCATAACTGTCAGGTATATAGCAAATTGTTTTCGATATAGCTCTTGAGCAACTCACAGCCTCTACAACATGTGACAGGTCGCCAGAGAGATGCTAAGAAGTTAGGGATGGAAATTCTTCTTGATTCCTACTGCTAATTATAGTTAGCAACCACAGAAGAATTTGTCCTGATTTTGTCAAGTCATTAAAGGCATAATTTCTACAGTCTTTTTGTAAGAGCTTTGTTATCTCCTACCCATCTGCTACTGTAAAAGTGATACATCGCTTTTAAAATAACAACAAAGAGAATTATAAGTGGGAGAAAATGGTAACTTCAACCGGGCTTATAGCAATGGTGATGGAGAGAATTGGTTAGTGAGAGATATATTTAAGAGACAGAATTGATAGAATTTATAGAAAAATTAGATCATTTCTGATTTGAGTGGGTGCTTTATGATGTAATTTCTTGAAATGAAGAAGACAGTCTTGGGTTGGAGAGGGTGGAGACTTTAAGAATCCAGTTTGGATTGTGTTAAGTTTGAAGTGTCTATCAAATAGTCTGGAACTGAGAAGAAAGGTCAATAATGCATATATAACTTCGGGAATTGATATATATATAGATAATATATAAAGCCAGGGAAATACATAGGATCACCTTAGGAGAGCGTTCAGAGAGGGAACTGAGTAAGGGAAGGAAAGGATGGAGGGAAGGAGAGACCAGGGAGAGAAAAGAAAATAAAAATGAAGGAAAAGAAAGTGGTTATGAGCAGAACATGGGGCTTTTTTACATCAGGTGAGAAACTTTATTAACATAATATAGTCTTTTTGGTCGTTCAGGACACAGAAACAATCACTAAAACAGATGAGTTAAAATAATTGATGACATTGTGACTATATGTACTATCAATCTACACTCCATTCTCCAACATATACTATAGCAATCAGATAATTTGTTAATGGAAAAAACCATTTAAATGTATATTTTATAGATACACAGTGTTATATCCATAAGAATAGCTTTAAAGTATTCTTGCATATACGTTAATGATCCATTAATGCACTTCTAAGGAGACTGAAGTCATTTTGTCTTCAATGTTTCATGGTTTATAATTCACTTGATGCTTAGATTAATATGATTTTTATATGCCATTTTCAGTCCATATATTTCTGCAATTCATTGAATCAAGCCAGGTTTTTATGAAGGAAACTATGTTGAAAAGTACAGAATCACAAAATAAGTTTAAAATATATCTAATTGGACTAAGATAACAAGTATTATCTTTGGTAAGCTTTACATGGCATTTAGATGTCAAAAAAAGAATGTATCATAAATCCCCACTGTTTTAGAGAAGAACCTATGTTCTCATGTAAAGAACTTTGAAAGAAGGAATAGAAAATATGATAATCAAAATCTGGCCACTATATAACAATTTGGCCTTTTCCTACCGGCGTTAGGCATTAGGATGAAAAAAATTGCAGAATTCTAAAAATCATCCTCAATAATTGCCTTTCTCTTCTTCCTCCTATTCTATAGAAATTGAATCCTATTAAATCTTTCTAAATATCTTCTGTATTTGTTCACTACTAGACCTAAACCTTGGACCGTCCTTAATTCAGATAACTCATCATCATTTTTCTGGACTGAATTTTCTTTTTCCTGATACTACTGCTTCAATATTGACCCCTTCAATTCCCCTTTTTCTCAGTTGCCATGACTTTTGTACCAGTTCTCCTTACACTGCAACCCTAGTTCAAGCCACTGACATCTCATGCCTGTGCTATTGTAACATCTTCTTCCTAACCAGTTTCCCTCTTCCACTTGTGACTAAAACTGACACCATCACATTGTGTAAAACTCCAGAATGACATTTCGTTTCAATTATAATAACATTTAGACTCTTTACCATGGCCTACAGACTCCTTTAGGATCCAACCTCTGTTCATACCTCTGACCTCATCTCCTTCAAATTTCTCTAATTCAAAAATCCCTAGCAACATTGGCTTTCTTTTCTAAACCATAAACCACAAAACTCCTTGCCATCTGAAAGTCTGTCTTTGAAGTAACTTCATTATCATCTATCAGATCTCTATCCAAATGACCCTCTTAAGAAGTCCTCCCTGAGCATTCAAATCCTTTCCCCTTTGCACTCTCCATCTTAATAGCATATTCTATGGTATAATTCCTGAAATTATCTTGGATAATGTGAACTCTGTCAGGTTTCTTTTTTTTTTTAATTTTTTATTGGATTATAGGTTTTGGGGTACATGAGCAGAGCATGCAAGACAGTTGCATAGGTACACACATGGCAGTGTGCTTTGCTTTTCTTCTCCCCTTCACCCACATTTGGCATTTCTCCCCAGGCTATCCCTCCCCACCTCCCCCTCCCACTGGCCCTCCCCTTTTCCCCCCAATAGACCCCAGTGTTTAGTACTCCCCTTTCTGTGTCCATGTGTTCTCATTTTTCATCACCCGCCTATGAGTGAGAATATACGGTGTTTCATTTTCTGTTCTTGTGTCAGTTTGCTGAGGATGATGTTCTCCAGATTCATCCATGTCCCTACAAACGACACAAACTCATCATTTCTGATTGCTGCATAATATTCCATGGTGTATATGTGCCACATTTTTCCAATCCAGTCTATTATCAATGGGCATTTTGGTTGATTCCAGGTCTTTGCTATTGTAAACAGTGCTGCAATGAACATTCGTGTACATGTGTCCTTATAGTAGAACGATTTATAGTCAGGTTTCAAACTTTGGCTTTTTTATCTACTAGCTAATGACCTTAGGAAAATTATTCAATCTCCATTTCTTTTTCTGTAAAATTGGATGATAATACCTCATCAGGTTGTTACAAAAATTAAATGACTTAAACTTTGTAGAACAATGCCCAGCTAGTCATTATTATTAGTTGTATAGTTGTAGGTGTAGCAAAATCAGTACTAAGATGTATCTCTTTAAATGCAAGCCTGTTTAGTTTACCTGTTTCTATAACCCTAGCATCTAGAACAGAGTCTGGTACTCAACAGTAGTTTCTTGATAAATGTGTGACCAGTTGTTGCCTGACTACTGATGTAGGAAAGGCAGCTGTGATTAAATACATTCAAGTGTCAAATCCTTTTAAACAATGTGGAAAAAGAAATGACTCCAGCATTCTGATGTTGGCTCCAGTCGAAGATTCTGAAGTGCCAAATAATCTGCCGTTGGACAGAAAATTTCAGTTACTGAGATTTGGATACATGGGAAGTCTTAAGTCTTAGAAAAGAGAATCGGCATGAAGCAGACTACAGGGGAACTTGACTTCCAGCCATGAGATTAAGATTAGGGATGAGAAGACAAGATCTAGATAGAATTGATAGTATTAGCCAGGTTACCTGGCTCAGAACCAGAGAGTAGGCTCCCAGTAGTAAGCCAGTGATGCAGAGAAAGGCCAACTCAGGGAGCTTCCTGGGGTGGGGATGGGCCTAACACTTTCCAGTGTTTAAGATTGGCTCGAAAATGGCACAGAACCTACCCCGCAAGTAAGAAGAACTAGATCTTATTAGCATATCCATGTTAGCCTCTGCTGGAAAAGGAGGAAGCCAGAAAAGTCAGAGGCAGACCACAATTAGTCTTAAATATTGCGCATATAAATAAAATAGCTCTGATAGATAAAATTGACCACAACCCATTTTCATTTTGGTGCTGAGATCTTCACGATAAGTCATGTGCCATATTTTGATTTTTACGGCATATTATCAGGAAATCCATGAAATGGAGGGACATTAAGGCCTCTTAGTTTTTAACTGCTTGCCTCAAATAAATGATCTTATCTCAGTTTAATAGATATGAGATGAGATCATATCTATTAAAATACAAGGAAACTGTATCTATCTTTCCACAATTTCCATATTGATCAAATTGTATGTCTGTACACTATTCACTGTGTTTGTAAACCACAATAAGTGTTATAAGATACTGTATTTGGCTTTTGGCAGGCTTTTTTATTTTTGTCTGTAGCATCTGCTCAGCGTGTCACGGTACAAATTTAGAAAGGTATATATATAGCCAGTACATCATCTTTTCACCAATGGATTTGCTTTAAATTTCTCACACAAAGCTACATTTGCTGGAGGATCTTTCCACAAAAATAAATAGAGGTATGTGTCTGATCCTTTTAAAAGACTTGGCATTTAAACAAAATACAAAGCTAGGTTATGTAAGAAATGTATTACCAATAGTCACATTACATAAAGCTTTGCATGTTATGAAAATTTAGTGTATTTTCAATAAATTACTCTATGCTTTATAATAACATGTTTTTATGTGTTGAGAAAGTTATCCTATTAAATTTTAAGTTCTTTAAATTATAAGTTGTTAAAAGATTTATCACTAAGTCCTGATTTTAGTTTACATAATTTATAGCTACTTTTAGACACATTACTAATGAAAAATCTTGATTTATTACATCAAATGTATGAATCGCTGCATCTTTTTGTGTTTTTATTGAACTGAACAAATTTGATATATTTGACAATTGTTACTTTAATATTTTTGATTAATGATACCCTTTGAGTTGAGGCTGTTTATGCAATTTCTTTTGATATTTCTTATAAGTATATTCCATAGATTATTATAAGTATATGGATTACTCCTAGTGATTTTTAAATCCACCATTTTAAAATACAAAGGTTTTCAAAGAAAAATAAAGAATTAAATGTTGAGTTGAATGACCGCATTTGTCCAGTTGAAGAGTCTCTTCTCTATTCTCTACTTTTTAATCCAAAGAGCCACTATTACCTCTCTAATGTCTTCTTCTCCCATACCTCTTCCTTCTCTCAGTTCTTCATATTTTCCTCTGGTATTCCTGGCCATTAAGTTTAATTTAAAAAAATCATTCCTTTTTACTCCCAGAAGTGAGTGAAAACTATAGAGAGAGTGTAGAGAATAAAAGACACCCCTTAGCGGGATTGAGTCTTTTTACTCTCTGACTCTGCCAGAAGCCCAGGTGTAATATCCAGAGCAAAAGAAAAAGGAAAATGTTCCAAACACTTTTTAAGAATTGCCAAATAGAACAAGGAAATACATTTGTAGTTTATTGGTTTTGCTTTGAGAAGGAGCATTGTTATTATCAGCCATTTGTAGATAATAATAATCATTGCTACAAGAATGCGTGTGTGTGTGTGTGCATGTGTGTGTGTGTGCACACATGCGCTTAAAGTAAAAAACTGACATTGTTTTTTACTTTCCCTAAAAATTGTTTTAGGGAAATTCTTCTAGATGTGTACCAAGTTTTAAACTTTTTCCCTTAAATTGCTAAGAATAAGATATTTAGAGATTAGTTCTTTCAAGTCAACTTATTAGAAGCCACAGTCCAGGTTGCGAAAACTTTTTAAAAAGTAGTTGAAGATTACACATTTTGTAAATAACTTTCTAGCATATATTACTACACCATTGCTAAGATACTTTATTGATCCCATTCACAGGATACCTTGTTTTCTGATAGGAATCCAGCCATAACCACATTGTCAATTGAGCTTTGTAAATATCTCAAACTAAGTTTTATTGACTCACTAACTTACTAAAAACATACTCTTTATTTTTCAGGATGTCAAACTTGGCACAATTTGACTCTGATTTTTACCAGTCTAATTTTACTATTGATAACCAGGAGCAGAGTGGTAATAACTCTAATGCTTATGGAAACCTTTATGGATCTAGAAAGTAAGTACTTAATATTCTTTCTTTCTTTCTTTTTTGCCAGAGTCTCATTCTGTCACCCAGACTGGAGTGCAGTGGTGCAATCTTGGCTCACTGCCATCTCTGCCTCCTGAGTTCAAGCAATTCTTGTGACTCAGCCTCCCAGGTAGCTAGGATTACAGGTGTGTGCCACAATGCCTGGCTTTTTGTTATTATTATTATTATTATTTGAGACGGAGTTTCGCTCTTGTTACCCAGGCTGGAGTGCAATGGCGTGATCTCGGCTCACCGCAACCTCCGCCTCCTGGGTTCAAGCAATTCTCCTGCCTCAGCCTCCTGAGTAGCTGGGATTACAGGCACGTGCCACCATGCCCAGCTAATTTTTTGTGTTTTTAGTAGAGATGGGGTTTCATCATGTTGACCAGGATGGTGTCGATCTCTTGACTTCATGATCCACCCACCTCGGCCTCCCAAAGTGCTAGGATTACAGGCGTGAGCCACCGCACCCAGCCTTTTTTTTTTTTAAATTTTTAGTGGAGACAAGGTTTCACCATGTAGCCCAGGCTAGCCTCAAGCTCCTGAGCTCAGGTGATCCGCCTGCCTAGACCTCCCAAAGTGCTGGGTTACAGGCGTGAGGGCCCACTCTGGGCTGTATTATTCTTGTTTTAAGAAGTCTTAATATTATGACAGGGATTTCCAGAGAGGGAGCCTTCTTTGGGAAAAGCCAATGTTTGCCTCAATATATCTCAGTAAAGTGCCAAGAAGAAATGTCAGGAAAGGGCAGAGAAAGTAATCAAGTTCTCCATGAATGCGATTTATCACCTCAGCCCAAGGTTATCTCCTCTTTTCAAAACATCACTTAACAGGGAGCTGGGATACAGACACTAGACAAACAGAAAGCATTTTCATTTTGTCTAATATTTTCCAGGACAATTCTTGAGAAATACATTTCATTTAGTTTAATGAACATCTATTGAGATTCTGCTTGTGTTTCAGAAATTAAGAATGCCACTACAAATCTAATGATGAACTCGTAGTCTTTTCTCTCATGCAATTTAATATTTTTATGTTGAAGAATTGGGCAATTAAATATGTAATTATTATATGAAAAGTGCTATGATGGAATTAAGGTAAACCTGACAAAATATGAAAGTTATTTGAGGTAAAAATTCAACTTGAGTTGAAAATGAAACAAAATGATTAAGAATTTAATAGTTGCTATTTCTTAGTGGCAAACTATGGCATTTAGAGTTAGAAGAATTTGGTTCAAATTCTGGCTTTGGCAGTTTTTGTCTGTGACATAGGGACAACTTAACTTTTCTGACTGTCTTAATCTGAAATATAAGAATATTAATAATATCTACTTCATGGAATTGTGATGAAAAAATTGTGATGTGTAAGAAGGAGTGTATTAAAGTAAAACCATCATATAAATATTACTGATTCATATAAATATGACTTAAAAAGCAATCGACACTTTGTTACCTAAAGTCACTTAAGTATACTGTATTTTGTTAAATAGTTGATTTCATGGATTTGTGTGTGTGTGGGTCTAGGTTAGAAGGCAAGAGGGTCAGACTCTTCAACTTTTATAATAACTACAATATGTTGAGTTTTTACGATATATTAGGAACTGTTCTGAAATTATATAAATTAACTCATTGGATCCTCAGTTATACACATTAACTCATTAAAGCACCCTATGAGTTAGGCACTACAGGTTGAGCATCCCAAATCCAAAAATCAGAAGTCTGAAATGTCCCCAAATCCAAAACTTTTTGAACACTGACATGGTGTTCAAAGGCAATGCTCAGTGGAGCATTTCAGATTTCTAATTTTCTGATTAAGGATGTTCAACCAGTATGTATTATGCAACTGTTCAAGAATGCATTAAAATCTGAAATCTAAAACACTCTTGTCACAAGCATTTCAGATAAGCGATACTCAACTTGCACTATCATTACCATTTTGCATGAGAACCCAGGCACACAGAGAAACTGAGAGACTTTATTGAGGTTACACATCTAGTAAGAAATGCAGTTAGGATTTTAGCTAAAAATTGTTTGATTAGGGCTATAACTAGTCTGAGCACATGACTTATTGTAAAATGAAGACCTTTTTAGTGTAAAATCAGTGCTATTATAATAATGTTTAGATAATTGGAATAAACTGTACCATAAATTAGGATGTATGGTATATTTCAAATATATTAATTCTTGAAGCTTTGTTATTAACACACACACACCCTTAAAATCTCCAGGTAGAAAGAGGAAAAGACAGAATACATATAACAGGCAGTGGGGAGTCTCCTGTTCCAACACTGTCCAGAAAAAAAAAATGGGCCCTCTTTTTACTAATTGATCACTCCTACAGGTGTGAGCAGATAGATGCTGCTTTCGCAAACTTCTTCCTAGCTACACCTGCTGAGGTACTGCTCTAGAGGATAGGGAATTATATTGCGATATAATTTTTTTAAGCTGGAAAAGTTAAATATCTGGAATTGTATCTAATTTACACTCCTATACTTTCCTGCCTAGCACTAGTCAGGCTGCATTTTATGATTTACACTTTGGAAGGTGAAGAGAAAACGAGAAAATGATTGAGGCACAGGGAGTAGTTTGAGCACTAATGTATACAAAGTTGGTCACTCTAAATTTACAATCCACAACAAGAACTATCAATTAGGCTTTTTAAGCTTTGCTCTGTTTTGTGGAAAGGAACTAGTTGCCTTGAACCTTCTGTTTCTTCTCTCCACTCTCTTTTCCAGATAAGATAAGCATTGGGGTAGCATTGATATTTTCAGATTAAACTAAAATGTTCAATAAGAGACAAATAAACTTTTTCCCTAAGCAAGGACTCATGAACCACAGCTTCATCCACCCATCCCACACACTCTAATTTTCCTTCCCCATTTGATTGAACATTTCCCCAAAATCAAGATGATAAAGAGATGGAAATTAACATAGCTAGGTAATGAAAGCTCCTAATTATATGGTACCAGGTTGATGGCCTACCGTGCTTCAGATGCTTAGCATTTAAAGCAAAGTCCTGATTTGGATGCGGCAACATTTAAGTTCCAATCCATGCTGTAAGTCTCAGGAATTAGGAAAGGGCATTGTAGCTGTGGTAGTTTTATGAGGTATATAAAACATGGAGTCAGGTCAGTGATTTACTATGTACATCAAAGGAACTCCAGAGATTTGATCTTTTATTAATACCATGAATAGTTCAATTAAAATACACCCCAAATCAGAACAAGATGATCATCATCCTGGCAAAAGATGTAGAAACCTAGACAATAGTTACAATCAATAATTCAGCTTCTGTTTCTCTATCTGTCTCTGCCTCTCTCTTTCACTCTCTTTCTTCCTTCATCCATGTCCAAAGTATGAGAGCTTGTATTAAAAAGCCTGTTTGGCTCAGTGATGTACTGTTCTGAAAGCTGGGTGACTATGCTCACTGAGACAGTGAAGACATTTATATTTAAAAATAAGTCATCTTATTTTAGAATGAATCAGTAGGATCTTTATCTTTTTAAAAACATAATTATTCAGTCATTCAGATAGGGATAATTTCCAACCACTATTTATAAGTGGTTGGAAATTACTGAGGCTATATTTTTCCAACTTTTGAAATGTGAAATCTATTTATATTATTTGGAAGAAAAAGAAACATATATTGTTGCAGAAAGGTGTGAGCAATTGGAAAAATGTCTTTTGGTGGTTTGGTATTACTTTAACAGAAAAATACGGAATCATCACCTTTTTTGAATCCTCAGACCTGATCTTCTAGTATTTCAAACACAGTTAAGATATCACTGTGTACTCAGTTGGACCAACCAGAGTCTAGGAATTTTGCAGAAGCCAATTCTCCTAGCTACCACTCCCTTACTCATGCTACCATCAAACTCATCCTATTTGATAACGTCTTACCAAAAGCATTTAGATTGCCTAAATTTATAGGTTTAATTGGAAATTTACATAGGTAAGTTACACAGATATGTTTTTGAATGTTATGTTTAACTAGTTCATTGTATGTTGCCTCCAGAATTAATAAACACCAAAAAGTTGTGAACTGTTCTTGTTAAACATTTTCCTTGACTCCACCAACATTTTTGCTTTTAGAAAACTATCAGATATCTCATGGTATCCAGTATAGAATTTGGAAAATATAGAAATATATGAATAAAATATTAAAATTACTTCAAATCTTATCTCCAAATGACTATTTTTAATTTGATGTACTTCCCGCTACCTTTATTCTATTTTCCTATGAATGTGCATGCATATTATATATATATATTTTAAAATAAAATACTATTTTTCAATGAATGCATATGTATTTATACGTACTCAGAAATGAAATTTGCTGATTGTTCTAAAGGAGCCCTACAGTCACTTCTCTGTAGTTTGAAATGATTTTTAAGGAAGAGGAGGTGTTTACTAACAAAGCTAAAATTTAAATTCAACCAGCAGAGTTCAGTGTTTCTTTTTATCTAATTCAGATAACGCTTATTTTGTCTCTAATAATGTGCTAAATTAGAAATTAGCACTTCAGTGTTTATCTTATCACAGAGGTAATGGAGATGTTGTGTAATACAGGAGAAAAGTTACATTTTCTTGGCATATTCTGCACATCTCTCATTGTGTTTGTGGTACAAATACAAAACTTTAACATCTTAAATATTGAGCATATTAATCTGACTTATTACGTTACCTCTAACAGGTTAATCATCAAGGACTATAGGCTTAATAGAGGAAATAGTAAAGTGTCCAGACCAATTATCTCAGACACTTTTTTCATGAAAGGATATTGTAGGCTTGAAAGATCCTTTAAGAATGTATGAAAACTCATTGGCATAGCCATTCAGAGTCGGTGCCACTTAGTAAAAAAAGGATAATACCAGAAGACATAGGGGACTATATGTCAATTTATGATATGTACTTAAAATTAAGGTTGTTCATAGAAAATTTTTGGGAAAAAACTCCTAAACATTAGAATTGGGTTATTTACTGTATCAGGCC